TTATGAGAAGCCCTGGAAACCATAAAACTGGGTAGCTGGGCTGTGTTAAGGCCAGAACCAAGATGAACCCAATTCTGACAGAGGAAGCAGCATTTGGAAATACCAGCCAGGGCTGAGGTACTTGATGCAGTAGGCCTTTTGCTTGCTGTACCTGGTTTGTTGACAGGAGTTGCAGTTGGTCTCTTGACAGTTTCTTCAGGTACAAGGTAAAGGAAAGGAGTCCTTTCAGAAGAGAAGGATGATGAACTGGGGTTGGGGGGTGTCCTTCTGTATGCTGTGAATATGTTTATCTTATTGGTTAATGAATAAAGATGTTTTTTTGTTTTTGTTTTTGATAATGGACAGGCAGGATGTAGCCAGGCAGGAAGTATAGGCAGGGCTGCCTGACTAGGAGAATGCTGGAAAGAGGTGCGAAGAGGGTGAGCCGCCAGAGAGACACCATGTAGCTGCCAAGAAGAAAGGGCATCACCAGTAAGCTAAGATCATGTGGAGATACACAGATTAAGAGAAGTGGATTAATAATTAAGAGAGAGCTAGCCAATAAGAAGCCTGAGCCATCAGGCAAACAGTTTATAATTAATATAAGCCTCTGTGAGTTTATTTGAGACTAAACAGCTTCGGGACCAAGGGGGACAGAAGCTTCTGTTCACATTTTTGCCCCACCCCCACTTTCTTCTCTTCCCCAAATGGAGTCACATCTGAGGTACAGTGTAGGTTATGGGCTCCATATATCAGGTACCCCCTGTGGCCAATTACTTAGTCCAGGGTCACCGTTAGGGAAGGATTAGGCAGGTCTTCCCACCTCAACTTCAATTAATGTCATCAAAATAATCCCTGACAGGTCCGGTCTCCTGGGGGATTGTATATTTTCTTGACAAGCCATTAAGCAGGCAACCTTATCTATTACAGCTTTAAATACACTAATTTCTGATCTTCTCAGCCATGTGTGAGTAGCCCACTTCAGAGAGGAGGAAAATGAGATGTATACCAGTGTCAGTTTGCCCCTGGACACTGAGTTCGCAGAGATGAATTTCGATCTAGGTATTTTATACAAAATACAGTATTTCTGCTCTACTTTTTTGGGCTTCTCTGGGGGAAACCACCGATTCTCCAGGATAATCTACTTTCAACTTCCTGAATATGGATTATATTCATTGAAGCTTTTGTTTCCACATGATATTTTACTGCTGTAGCTTGGAGGGTGGTTGCTAGCACCTGTTTTAGCAAATGAATGAATGAATGAATGAATAAATAAATAAATAAATAAATAAATAAATAAATAAGGAAGCCATGTACATTCACTATTTACTAGTTTTTCTTCTATCATTGAAACTGAGGCAGGCTACTGTCTAAACAAGTGGTTAACTGTCTCACGGCTGTGGTCCCTCGTTAAAGGCTCCCCACTGGTGATGGCCATATGGTAGCTACCAGGAGTGTGTTCTGTCTCTCCTGATTGGTACTTCACCCTCCTACAAAGCCACCTAGATTTGATCATGAGAGTTCTCCCTGATTGCTCTGTTAGTACTAATCTCCTTTAACTGCTGGACTAGGTTGAGTTTTCAGCTACCTATACCTTATATGAGTTTTAAATCTCAACTCAAGAAGGGATTTTTAACTTTTTGGGTGTGTGTGTATTGTTTTTTTTTTTTTTTAAGAGGGATGACACAGATTGTCTACAAACATGGCACCTACCTTTACATTGTGAACACTTGGCAACTACTTCACACTAATCAGTGTCATAGTACACTGTTTCTTGCATTCAGTATTGAATTTTAGTATGGTATGTTTTATATGTAGGGACCAATACTGTGGGATAGGACTCAAGAAAATGTGAACTTGTGTAAATGCTCTATAGAAATAAAGTCAAGTACCAAAACTTGGTAAGATGTGCTCTGACATGTCTGCCTGTTGAAGAGTGCTACCTTACTAGCAGTTTGGTACACTCTGTTCAGAAGCAGAGGAAGATTTCCTCTTTGAATCTACATCTTAAAATGTACATTTTGTGGAGTTCTGTGTGTTTGGCGTTTAGGCATAAACTCCAGGCCTTCTGGGGCAGCCAGGGTTTAAGGCTAATGATTTAGCAAAGGCCATGGAGGAAGCTCTGTATTCAGGAATCCTATCTAGAGAGTAGAGTTCTAGTCCAGGCTCATCATTATCCATGCCTCATCCTCATTCCCTTTGCTGTAATTGTCACATCATGTCCTACCTTAGTTAGCCTTTAAGTCTCCTTTTAACACTTCATGACTTGCAACTTCTTCACTGAACCAGGTACAGGTGATTCCTGGCTACTTACCTGTCACACAGTAAGCATTATGGCCAGACCTAGAATTATGATGTGTCTTGAAAGGTGACATGTAACAGTTTTTCCCTTTATCACCCTTGGTTTTCCCCTTTCATAGGAATGTTCTGAAACAAAATTCCTGAAGTAGAAACAGAGTTCCAGTCTGCTCTTGGGACTCTGGGGAAAGCAGAAGAAGGACAATACATAGGGCCAGCTGCTTGTGGTGATTGTGTGTCCTTGGAGTACCCCTGAGCTCATTATGTTTGTTGAAAGTTCCTTCTGCACACCTACCTTGCTGGTGAGGAGACTAGTTTCAGTGGTTGCAGGTCAGTGCCACATTGAGGAGAGCCTCTGCATCTCCTAAGAACTAGCAATGCTGCAGAGCAGCCTCCTTTGGGGGACAAGGTCTAGATCAGTTCCCACAGGCTACTGTAAAATAAAAATCTAAGATTATGTTTATAAAGTGTGCTTATTCCAGGTAGCAAAAATTGCTCGTTTGCATTATGTAGAGGAAACCAAATAATCCTATACATTGGGTGTTTTCTATGCCTATGTATATTCTCCAATGTACCATACTGCTTCCTGACTGGTGACACAACTGTGTCTGTTTCTGTGACAATAAGATACTCTTGATGGATTTTAATGTTGGGTAGACATATGCATTGTCTGGGTTGACTGAAACTTAGCGTGCATGTACTCTTCTTGGAAGTTCTTTCAATCTGTGGTGACCCTATTCTTATTACTAAGGCAAAGAATCCTGACTTCTGGGTTGTCAGCCTTGACCTCAAGGAGTCTGATAGATGAGTCTGAATAGATGAGGTTTTGACAGTGTCCAGAGCAACTCTTTGTGTGACACCTGTCAGCAAGTACCACATACACCTTCTGTTCTAGTTGACACCTTTCTGTGGTCACTGTGTGTGAAGCTTTCTGGAAATTACTTGTGGTTAAGAAAGCATATTTGTTGTCATCTTTGCTATGTCGAAGTCTTCAAATTGTTACCACCATCCCCCCCCCTTTTTTTTAAATAGCAAGATCCTAACTTGAATGGGAAACCTCACAGACTATCTTGCATCTGGGCTCTATTTAGTTCAAGTTGAAGCAAGAGATGTGTTTTCCTTTCCTGTTGTCTTTCCATCGAGCCTCCCTTCAAGACCTTTACTTGTGAAAATTCAGTGTACTGAAGCAGAAGTTAGAGTACCTGAAAGTCTATATTTAAGTGTCAGTAATTTCCTTTCTTTTACTTGTTTTCATTGTCTGTGTGGTATGTGTATGTGTGAGCACAGTCGTATATGCAGGTGTGCATGTGCATGGGTGTATTGTCTGGGCAGGTGCAAATGTGTGTGCATGCACAAGGTGCCCTGTTGTTACACCTTGTTCTTGGAGACAGAATGTTTTAGTCAGACCTGTAGTTCCCTGATAATCCCTGTCTCCTCCTCTGGAGACTGAAATTACAGCTGAGTCACCATGCCTACTCAGCATTTAGGTGGGTTTTGAGGGTTCAAACTATAGCCCTCTTGATTGCCAAGCAAGCACTTTAACTACAGAGACATCTACCTCTTCAGACTTTGCTTCTTTAATCAAATTTGGTGAGCAATTAGAAACTGTTCATGTGTAAGAACTCACCTCCCATTCATGTTTGCCCCCAACATGTCAGCTCCTGTGTGAATAAGCATTTAGTGTTGTCTCCATCATCTTTTTGACCATCCTGTTTTTCAGCTAGTGGCATGAGGCTCTTTAGCTCATTGACTGTTAAAGCTAAAGACAGACACTGTTTTTATTGGTGTTGATTGGGTTCTTGGAAGTTTTGTTGGAATAATTTAATCACAAATTGTTTATGTCTGGTAATGTAAAGTGGAGCTGAATACCATTCAGGCTTTTCAGAAATTTTTATCTTCTCTTTCCTGCCTGAATTTAATTCTCCTGCTTGTATTACCCACCCCCTACCGCCTCTGGAGTCAGTCTGTTCTTTTGTTGTTATTTACCTTACACTGGGGAAGTTCTTTAGTGGAATACTAAGTTGTTGAGCTGAAAAGAGAAGCCCCTGGTCCTTGGAAAATGGGACTGCAAATCCCCAGAGGAATGGGGAGGCAGAAGAGGAACTGGAGCAAGAGGCTTGTAGTTTCTGTCACATCTAAAGAGCCTCATGCCACTAGCTGAAAGTAATGGTTACCCCCCTCTTTGTGTGTGTGTGTGTGTGTGTGTGTGTGTGTGTGTACACACGTACACACGTGCATGTGTGCTCGAGCAATCTTGTGGTTACTATATGTTAACCTAATTTTTCTTAAAGTATAGAAGTAGACCTGCCATGCCCATATCTGCACCCCACATGACCCATATACAGTTTGTCTTTCAAACACTTCCTTTCAGGATAATGGTGGCAGGAGCACATGTCCTGTCATAGGTATAGAGTTTACACAGAATTGTGTGTAATAGTTTGCCCCACACTTTGATGGCTTCTCTTGGTGCAGAGCAGACTTTTCAAAGGATGGTGGAGTTGCAGGTTGCTAGATCTACTGTGGAGCATTACCCTCCCTGCCCCTCACCTCGTGTCTTCAACAGCAGTGTTCTTCATGGAACCAAAAGGATATACTAACGTAGAAACTGGCTCCCACAGTCATTGAATGTACTAGCAATTTAAGATTGAGAAGTTGAAAACTAATCATGGTTCTACCTAGTTATCGACTTGTTATTTATTTAACTTCTCTTTCTTTCTTTAAAGATCTGAATATGGAATTCAATCCTTCAGACCATCCTCGGGCCAGCACAATATTCCTAAGCAAATCTCAGACAGACGGTAGGTTACTAATTCATTTGCTTTTTAAAATGTGGTTAGCCTAAATGTGGATACTGTTGGGATTTCAGTTTTCAATATATGGTAGAATTCCCTTCAGTGACCATGAAGTACTGTCTGTAATGGTGATTTCCTTTTGTTTATTCTTTGGTAATGAGTACATTTTTAGAATTTCTCATTTGAAACAATTGTCTTCATTTTGCTTGTTAGCTGAGTTACCTCTGCGTGTATTCTATCGAAGGAGTTAATTGAGTCAGTAAATTCTCCTTTGGTCCTAAAGTTTAAGACAAGATATTTATGTAAGTTCTCAAAGATCACATGTGTTCACTAGTCATACAATAAGTAAAACAAAACAGTTGAAAGCCAATTAACTTGTCACTCAAGAGCTCAATTGAACCTACACATAAGCTGCAGATATATTTATATATTTGTCAATCTATTTATTTATTTATTGAAGCCAAACTTTGAGTAACTAGTTCATTTTAAAGATGTTAGAACCCTTGCAGTCTATCCCAGCTGTGTGTAGGATTTCTCCTATGGCATGGCATTATCTCTTCTTAACCCCTGGTTTACCTGTTCTCTGGCCAGTGGCTTCAAAGGAGAGGGACGGTAAATACAAACCCAGTTTTCATAAATGGTCCTGGACACTTGTAGAGTAAGGCATACTGACAAGGGGAGCAGGGTGTGTCTGGCAGTGGAAGTCCTGCAGATTCTACCCTTTAGTCACACAGATTGGCTGCTCTAATTTAGATACTAAGGAGACTACGAAGAAGACAAACATGTCTGTATTCATGTATACAAATTGAAAATGCCTCTGTAGTGCTTGAGTGCTTGGTGCCAGCTTTGGCAGGGTACAGTGTTGATGCAATATGGATGGTTTTTAAGCAGGCCACTTCAAGTCTTTGGCACTGGTTAGGAGAAAAAAAAAAGGTGTCCAAGAGTAAGAAAAGAAAAATCAGTAAGCACCAAATACTTGAAAAGGAAGCCTTGAATACATTAGGTTAAAAAAAATCCACCCAAAACTTTTCCTGTGATGAAGGGAAGCTGCTGAGAGGTGTAGGATATTACAAGCAAAAGAAAGTGAGGATAGAGGTAGGTCTTTGGTGAAAATGAGAATAAAAACTCTTTTTCCCCAAGCACTGGAGAACAGTGAGGTGAAAAATAGTATGAAGCCACCTGGCACCAAATAGGGTTCTTCCTGTTGAGCTCAGCTGTCTTCCAAACAGTCCCCTGGGATTGTCAGAGCCTCTGGGTAGGGGGACACACCTTGATTGTGCAGGCAAAAGGAAATGACCTAACAGAGAAAGGATTATTCCAGAAATAGGTAAAGGTCAATCTCCTGTCTTCCTTTTTTTTAGAATTTCAGATCTTTGCATATTGTTTCAGTTTCTCCTAACTCCTAGAGCTTTCCACTCCACATGCAGACATAATTAAGTTTCATATTACGAACAAAAGGAAGTTCCCTCTTCCAGCAAGTGTTCTTTTCTGCTCTTTCCATTGGCTGCCTGGGCTTGGGATTCAGGGGAGCATTTCATTCCTTTGGCCCTTAATGTCACAACTTCTTCCTTTCTTAAGACAGAGCCATTTCCAGTCCTGTGTAATGAACAGTAGGTGTATCATTGATTTTATAAAGTAGGGTTTATACACTTGACAATCTCGGCAACTTTAATGATTTAGTTTTGAGTGAAGTGATGGTAAGGGAATTGGTTATTTACTTTATGAACTGATTTCAACAACTTGGTACATCAAACTTATGGGTTACCGTTGTTGCCTATTCATAAATGCTCCCTTAGGACACACTTGCCCCACATGCTGACAAGCTGTGTTAACCGGTTCCCTCCTTAGTTCTGTGTCATTTTTCTGCTGAACTTTTCCCTTGGAGCCTATCTCTTGGGATTTCTCTGAGACTGAGAGAGTGTAGTCCTGATGGGAGCCTTTGTTGGGTCAGGGCTCTCCTCATACCTCTAGAGCAGTGGTTGGTTCTCAACCTGGGAGTCAAGACCCCTTTGTGGGTGACATATCAGATATTTGAATTATGATTTATAATAGTAGCAAAGTTGTAGTTAGGGAGTAGGCATGAAATAATTTTATGTTTGGGGGTCACTAAAACATGAGGATCTGTAATAAAGGATGGAAACATAAGGGATGTTAAGAACCACTATGCACAGGGTCAGTAGATTATGCAGCCTGTATTCAAATTGGCTGCCTGGCTTCAGCCCTCAGTCATGTCACTTTAGCTCTCTGAACATCTGAGCTGTTGAACTTTACTCTCTTGTAGCCCTGAGTTATTGTGACAAAATACAATTTTTCTAATTTGTTTATTCCTTAGCAACTATATATATATAAACACACATATATATATATTTATACACACACACATCCATCCATCCATCCATCCATACATACATACATACATACATACACGCACACAGGGTACCTAAGTTGTATTCCCACCATACACCTTTTTTTTTTTTTTTGAGATCTTTGTCATATTATTTAGGCTGGTCTCTAAACTTTGGGCTCAGGTGATTCTTCCTCCTTGCCTACTAAGTAGCTGGAATTATAGACAAAAGCTACTGGTTCTCCTTTTTTGTCATCTTTAATTAAAACTCTTAAAAGTTTTGTTGGCATCTAGTAGTATGCATCCTTTTGGGTGGCAGCATGATACTTGCCTATATGCTATGTACTGGTTATCTTAGGAGCTGTAAGTTGCTAGACATCATCTTAGTTACCTTTTAGTTTTTGTTTTTGTTTTTTTGGTCCTAAGATCCTCTCTTCTATCTTTAATTGTGCAATACAATAGTACTAACCACAATCATTTACTCATCTGTATAGCAGAACAACAGGCTTGATTTCCTAGCCAGCTCTTTGTACAATGATTGACCTCTCTCAGCCCCATCTCCCATGCTACCAGTCCTATAGCTACTGTTATATGCCCTACTTCTGTCCATGAGCAGCCTTTTGAGGTCCTATTTCAAGAGGTCACCTGTGTTTGTCTTTCTGTGATGACTTTTTTACTTCACTTTGGATCTCAGATCATTCAGAGTGAACTTTTGGGTTGGGTTTTTGAGACAAGGTCTCCTTTTTTTGTATCCCATATTGGCCTGGGCGGAACTCAACTGTCCTTCTGCCCCAGTGTCAGGAGGATCTGAGATTACAGGTATGTGCCACCTAGTCAAAAGCTGTACTATATAGATAAAAGACTATTTATCCTCTATATTACTTGTTGCTTAAGAAGAGATATCTATGTCTGCCTCAGTTTGCTCTTTCTAAGTATGCTGCTAAAGGGTGTAGGAAGCTTACAAAGAACAGAGAAGAAAAGGATGAAAACATGAGCCCTACTTCATCCTTAGTAACCATGCCACTATTTCTCCCTCATCCTCTAGCTATATTTAAAGGGATATAGCCATTCTTTAGAGCAGTGGTTCCCCACCTGTGGGCTGCAGCCAGTTGGGGGAAGTATACCAACTCTTTCACAAGGGTCGCATATCATATATCCTGTTTATCAAATATTTACATTACAATTCATAACATAGCAAAATTAGAGTTATGAAGTAGCAACAATAATAATTTTATGGTTGGAGTCACTACAAACTGAGGAACTGTAGTAAAGGGTCACAGTATTAGGAAGGTTGAGAACCACTGTGTTAAAGGCAGGAGGACATAGGAAATTTTTGCCCACATAGTAAATTTGCAGTTCTCTCTTCCCACTCTGAATTCATTGCAACAGAGCTGCCCTCAGGCCAGCTTTTTGTCTGCAATTATCTCTTGAGCTGTAGGGAGGAAGGGGTATATATGGGGTAGAGGGGAGGTAGAGTTTTTTTTGTCCCAGCCAGGTCTGTGAGGGGAGGTCTTTAGGTGCTGCGGTCTGCTTTTCTCTTAAACATTGCTTTGTTTTGAACACCTGGACCTTTCACTCTGTTTGCAAATTCCAAAGTCAGATGCAATCAGTTATAACCACAGTGAGTTTTTCTTACTCTGCTTTTACCATAGCCTAATGCTTCCCCAGGTACAGTGTTAGGAACTTCCATGGAAGCACAGACACAGAACACAGAAGGATGATTGCCATTGCAGCCCCATCCTACTGTTGGTAGATGTCCCTTTGGTCTGTTGGTCAGAAGTAGTAAGTTATTTTTCATCTCTGAACACATTCAGCTCCTCCTCTATTAAAGTTAACCTATCCTCTCAGTGTGTTTCATAGCTTAGTAGCCTACCTTACATTAAATATGCATTTGATCACCTATTCTTTGACATCCAGGAAACTACTTAAATGATTGCTATGGAATAGACATCATGTAAGAAAAGCTAGAAGCCTGGCATAGTGGCACATGCCTTTAATCCCAGCACTCAGGAGGTGGAAGCAGATAGATCTCTGTGAGTTCATGGCTAGCCTTGTCTATATGTAAGCTCCAGGATAGCTAGAGCTACATAGTGAGACTCTTGTCTTGAGGGGGAAAAAAAAAGCAGATAGAAATCTTAGGAGGATTTCCTGAAGTTACCAGTAACTGGAAGCTTTCTAGCTGTGTTTTTTGTTTGTTTTTTTTTTTCTTTCCTGTGTACGTGCGTGTGCACACGTGGCAGATATCCTTGGGGACCAGAGATATTGGATCTTCCTGGAGCTGGAGTTGTAGGCAGTTGTATTCTATGCCCCACAATGGGGCTAAGAACCTGATTCATGTTGTCTAGAAGAACAGCAAGTGTTTGTAACTACTGAACTCTCTCTCCAGTCCCTGGATATGTTTCCCATCTTTCAAGTGAAGTTACTAACTCTATTAAGACTGTAAGAAAGATAAGAAGGATACATAGACTGCCAGAACTCCAAGCATGATACCCAGCATAGCACCACAGTCTAAATAAACTGAAGCCCAGCAGCTCTTTTACATTGAGTTTCTTCTTTGGCTAGGGCTCTGCCATCCTCTCAATTGGTCTTGGTTTTAGAGTCATACTGTCCAGAACATAGTGTCTTAAGAGGACGGGGCTGGGCTTCAGCTAAGAGTGGGAGG